CAGGGAGGGGGGCGGGGCAGGGATAGAAAAGTCTTTAAGGAAAAGCATTAAAATTATTTGTAGTGAGATTAAAGACTAGTAAGCATAAAATTATTCTTGAGGTTCTGTAAATGAATGGGCAGGGAAAATAACCTTTGGATAGTTCTAGTACAATTTGTATTAAATGGTTATTAATTGTGGATAGCAAAGGGTCGGGAAAGTGGAACAGGCATGCTACAACCTAAGTAACTTGTTGATAAAAGTAGCAAATCTTGTAACCTGACAACTGATGTAACAAAATGTAGCATAAACATGAAGGAGGTGAGAGTCTAAGGCTGAAAGGAGCAAAGCCAGGAAAGAAAGGCATGTGTTTGCTTTGAACAGTCCAAGAGAGCTTGAGGGACACATGGGACAGAAGTACTTCATTTGCTCTATCCATTTGTGCTAGTATCCATTAATGAAGCAAATTTCAGTGAAGTAACATTTTGGAGAAAGAAATGTTAATTAAAGTCTTGATTACATAGTTCCATAGATTCGTTGCACGCTATCCGCAAGGAGAGGCAATAGCTAGAACCCAGTGGAGTTCACAGTCCTTTACAGAAGCAGTTTCAGTCTTTTGTACTATTTTAAAATGAAGTGTGACCTTCATTTATCTTCTCCCTAGGTAATATCTGCCAACAGTTGCTGCCAGATATTACATGTCCCACATTTATAATTCATGGTGAGAAAGACCCTTTGGTTCCACAAGCTCACGCAGAATACATTCATAAGCACATCAAAGGCTCTCGGTAAGTTATATGATGGAGTATTTATAAACTATTGTTGAAGAAATGAAACAGATGAAACCCACAGTGTAAAAAAAAAAAAAAAAAAATTGGATAAGTTGTGTCTGCCAGAGCAAGCCATTCTAAACTTCCCTAGCAAGTTACAATGCAAACAGTGTAGCTGGACATTTCTTGCAATATAAAAAGTATAATATTTTTGTAAGCTCCTTCCTAAAGTCCTCCAAGGGAAACCAAGTAAGGTCCTTTTCCTAATTCACACACAGAACCACTCCCTAACATGTTATGGCCATTACATTCCTTTTGCTGTGAGAGACCTCATTTCTGTCCCATTCACTAGAGCAGTGAATTTATATGCTATGAGTGGAGACAGATTCCCAGTTCTTAGAGAGAAGCACAGGATACCACTGTTTGCTCTGCCTTGTTGATGTGAACAACCTCCTCAAAGATTTTGTTTTTGAGCTGTCCTGTGAATTTCAGTGTTTTTAAGAAAAGCAGAATAAGAAAAAAAAAGTACAACTATGCTCAGAGATATTACTTCATAAACAAGAAAAAAATCTCAGGGCACCATCTGCTTCATTTGAAAACTCCAGAAGTGTTGCCTATAAAAAGGTAGGATTTCACCAGCTGAATTTTCTTCATAGCTTTGCACACAAATTAAAAGAGTTCTATTACTACTTAATAACAGACTGTGATGATTAACACTGGAGAAAAGAATTAGGAAAACAAAACCCATTTTTATGACTGCAGAGTGTAGGAAACTGTTTCATTGGTGTCATCTCTGTGAAAAATTGAGTGATATATTTATCTCAAAGTCAGCTCCAATGTTCATGGAGGAAAGATGAGAATGAGACACCTTCCTAACAATCACATGCAGGTGTTTTATTCCATGTCTGCTGGTTAGTTACTCCCACATGCCCTGCTCAGAACACCTATCACCCTGTTTGGTTTCACTGAGCTCTGAAATGCTCCAGATGCTGACTAAGGCAAGTCATCACAAAAACTAAACAAGGATCAGATAGTTCCTCTTTGGAAGACAAGCCAAGGAGGAAACAGTATTAGAAGTGGCTATCCAATAAAATGTAAAGTGGCTCTTTGCATGTCTTCATGCTGAAGTGCTCCCCTATATATGTATTTATCAGAAATATAAATCAGACTAATGGTGTCCTCAGAAATTAATACTTAGGTACATGGTCGCCTTCTTCCCTTGTTGTGCTGATGACATGTTCCATTGTGAAGCAGAAGGAAAACCTTAAATCTGGCATATTTTCAGTAACACGTGCTTCTGCTGTCAGCTTTTCTTGCCTTTGTTTTTATCTAGTAGTAAAGTAGAAAAAGCTTTTGCTGATTGTAGTGCAAATACATTGCTCGTTTCTCTCATGGTAAGAGAGAGGGCCATCATTCTGTATATGCATGGAATGGCTAGAGTTAGGTAGCATTACAGTGGCTTAACAGCATAGAATCGTTTAGATTGGAGAAGACCTTTAAGATCATCCAGTCCAACCATTAACCTAACATTACCAAGTCCACCACTAAACCAATTAAGGGCAGAGTAATAATTAATTTCATGCTTCCTGGCTTGGTGGCTGGATTATTTTTTAATGAAAGTAAAACAAGAATAGAATCATTAAGGTTGGAAGGGACCTCTAAGATCATCAGTCCAATCATCAACCCAACACTACCATGCCTACCAAACCATGTCGCAAAGTGCCATGTCTACACATTTTTTTAACACCTCCAGGGATGGTGACTCCACCACCTCTCTGGACAGCCTGTTCCAATGCTTGACCACTCCTTCCATGAAGAAATTTTTCCTAATATCCAATCTAAACCTCCCCTGACGCAGCTTGAGGCTGTTGCCTCTTGTCCTATCGCTAGTTACTTGGGAGAAGAGACCAACACCCATCTCACTATAACCTCCTTTCAGGGAGTGATAAGGTGTCCTCCAGCCTCCTCTTCTCCAGAGGAAATAATCCCAGTTCCCTCAGCTACTCCTCATAAGACTTGCTCTCTAAACCCTTCACCAGCTTCGTTGCCCTTCTCTGGACACACCCCAGCACCTCAATGTCCTTCTTGTATTGAGGGGCCCAAAACTGGAGACAGTGTTTGAGGTGCAGCCTCACCAGTGCCAAGTACAGGGGGACAATCACCTCCCTGCTCCTGCTGGCCACACTATTCCTGATACAAGCCAGGATGCTGTTGGCCTTCTTGACCACCTGGACACACTGCTGGCTCATGTTTAGCTGGCTGTCAACTAACAGCCCCAGGTCCTTTTCGGCCAGGCAGCTTTCCAGCCACTCTTCCCCAAGCCTGTAGCATTGCATGGGGTTGTTGTGACCCAAGTGCAGAACCTGGCACTCAGCCTTGTTGAACCTCAATACAGTTGGCCTCGGCCCATCGGTCAGGCCTGTCCAGATCCCTCTGCTGGGCCTTCCTACCCTTGAGGAAATCACTCCCACCCACTTTGGTGCTATCTGCAAACTTACTGAAGGCACACTCAATACCCTCATCCAGATCATTGATAAGAGATATTAAACAAGGCTGACCCCCAAACTGAGCCCTGGGGAACACCACTTGTGACCAGTCAACAACTGGATTTAACTCTGTTCACCACAAGTCTCTGGGAGTAGCCCTCAGCCGTAGCTAATAGCATACGCAGTGCTATAGGTTTGTGCATGTGTGCTGCTTGGTCTTTGATGACAGACTTAATGAAATTCAGACAGAAGTGCTAGAAGAGCTGGGTGTGTTCACACACTATTGCTCTTTTAACCAAGACAAAACTACTTGTCGCCACCAAAAGAAGATAGATCGCCCTTGCTGTAGCAGGGCTTAGGTGACATGAAGGCAACTTAGCAAAGTATCAGTCAAGATGGCTTTAGCTCTGTTGAAACTGCTTAGTATGTGGTAGGATAAAATAAAGAATTTCCCACCCCCCTATAAAGGAAAGAAGTGTTAGAAGTACATACCTGATGTATGGCATTTTTCCCAGATAGAAAGCAATGGCAAATAGCATTTTAGGCTTGTCATGCTCTTATCAATATTACAAAGATTTAATTTTCTTCACAGATACTACTTCTAAGCTTTTGTTATAGCTGAAGAAGTCCTGACTTCACTTTTTACGTTAATGGATGAATGAATGGTGTTAGTTTTAGATTGTCTTTGCAGAAAGATTAGACAAAGTTCAGATGCTAACTAAGTTTGGGTAGTGACAAGAAATCTACATTTCTTTAGTGATTTCTTCAATGTGTTCACTGCCCAGCATAACCACTGTTCTCTGAAAGAGGCAAAAGAGCTCAGGTACTTCACATACCTGTCAAAGATGCATCCTGCTCACATAAGTTTTGGAATGTTATCTTCTTTGCAGACCACCAGAAAGGTTCCTAGAAACTGGGTCTAGGACACACAAATTTGTTTTAAGCTTAGTTTATCCTCCCCAAAGTGGGGCAAGTAGTATGCTTGTTGCTTCAACTGTTGCTGTGGTTCACATTCTAAACAACATACATAGGGATAGTACTTAAAAAAAGAGTTACTTCAGTTTGGTACTTGGGTAACCAAGAGCAAGGAAAAGACAACAAATACTTTAACTGCCTATACTCAGAAAATATAATGTATAGTCAGTGTTTGATTTTTTTTTTTCTCTTTTAAGGTTGCTTCTGATGCCAGAAGGAAAGCATAATCTACACCTGCGTTTTGCAGAGGATTTCAACAGACAAGTGGAAGATTTCCTACACAGACTGTAAAAAAGTTAGGGGTGTTTGTCCTTGCCTTGTTTAGGAATTTTAGTTGACTTTCCATTTTCATTCAAGTTACAGGTAGGTTTGAGTCCTGTAAGAAAAAAACATGAGAGATATTTGCATGAGAAGCATACCTTTTGAAAATATGTAAGCCTCAGTGGATCAGAGCACACCACTGTGCTGCAAGATTTCTGAAGTATCTTTAAACTCACTTCTTGCCACACAGGCCAAATACCTGTTCTGAGTGCAATAGAGGTGTTAAGAAAGACAGAAAACATGATGTAGAATACATGCCTTTATGTGCTCTTACCATTAAAGGACAAAAACATTGTAATAACTGGGGTTCAGAACCATTACATTGAGAAATCTGTCAAAGTTACAAGTGCTGAGAGGATAATTTGGTACATTTCTAGAGAACATGCTTCACCACCACTATCAGAAGTCATTCAGTACGCATGCCTGCTTTACAGAAGTTCCTTTGATACCAGGGGACTTAAGCCTCATCCTCCTCTCCTTCCTCCTCAAATTCCCCCTGCTC